GGTTCCAAGTCGAGCGTGTTTGTACGAGAGAATAATACGGATCTCCAAAGTTTGCAAGCAGGAAAGCTTGTGGGCGATAAACGGGTGGTGAAGTGCAGGGTGGGGGCGGCTTGTTATTACACCCTCTCACCTACGCAAGGGGTTTCTACTCAGAGCCGTACTGTCGCACAAGATTAAGACGCTCCTCGCTTTACTGTTAGCACTCCGGCTTCCGTTCCGCTCTCTTTCTCTCTCTGTCTCTCTCGCTTTCTTAGTGGCTTCGAGTGTGCTCTCCTCTTTCTGTTCACTGACTTAAACATAACACGATCATTTGTCTACTTATTTGTCTTTGCAAACAATCACGAACTGTACAACTAAATATATTTTGCTCAGAAAAAATAAGGAGATTTGTCAAATAAAGATTGAACATTCGTAGCAGTAAGAAGTCAGCCACCCTAAACCGTTTATATCAAAGTGTTGTATTACAGAGTTTAGGTTGTAAATAAAACGGCCGAAGAAAAGCCCGATAAGATGGAAGTGAAATAAGTTTAACCGAACGGTGGAAGGCATTATCATTGGCTGCGAGCGAGGAACAAAGAAAATGGTTGAGAGCGAACGTACGAGAGTACTTTATAGGCGCGTAAATATGTTTTATATCCTACTGTCTGTTATACACTGGCGCGGCACCCCATACCACGGCGCGGCGGCCCCCCGCCCGAGGGTTGCCCCGCTCTCGGAAATGCCGAGCTTTAATAAAACATATATTTTTCCGAGCGAGGAAAATACTGGGGAAACTCGCAATTTGTTCTTTCACTTTATGCTCGTTTACAAGACAAAAGTGGAACATTCCAGAAACATTATGTTAATCACGTAGTTATGTACGTAGTTTATTGTAATTTATAAAACGCACTTTGCGTGTATATGTTGAGGGTTTACGACATAAGTCTTGTCGACGATGACGACGTGTTAAGAGGTGTGAGAAGTAGTAAAATGTGTGGGGCCAGAGCAGCGTGCAGTGTGCTGGGTGCAACATTGTAGTAGCACTTAATGGTGTCGCGATGACCCTTATCTTGCGCGCCTCGGCGCAGTCGCGGTCGCCGGCGATTTATTGCGGCGCGTGTAGGCACGCCGCGCCACCGACCCTCCTCCGACTTGAACGCTAATTATAACACGCCCTAACCACACAACTACTATACACTTAAATACAAACTATACGAATTTGCATTTATGTCCAGTAAATGTTTGTCATTGTTCTTAGTTTAAATACATTTTGAATCCTTAAAATCTTGTACTTAGTAAAAAGTTTTCTATAGGTATATACAACAAACAATAAACATTCTTCAAATTAAAAAATAATGAACACAACATAATATAAATTAAAAAGTTACGGGTTTAACTTATTATTATGCTGAAACATTACCAATAAAAACTTCACTTTAAATGACGCTAACATTATGTGATTTTAAACGAAATGAAATTGAAAACAATTCATCAAAGGCAGCGCTGAGAGTTGATAGAACAGAAGTAGCAATTAAGATAATGTTGGAAACAAATTTATATTCCGATTCCGTGGGAGAGATTAAATTATTTTCTTGTTGGTTTTCGCATTACAAAAGGGTCGTAACCGACCGTCGAATGAGAGCAAGGGAGGCACGTTACGTGTTTGAGAGTAACCGCATTCCCGCCGCGCCGGCAGACTCCGCGCCGTAAAATATTACCTAAATGAAAGAAGCTCTTTCAATTAACCGAGGCAGGTTTGCGTAAGGTAAATTCTGCTAAGAGACGCCCGTCGCTGCGGGGCGTTAGAAGTTTTCCTTTTGGCGATATTTCACTTGCGTGTGCTTGAAATTTATAAAAAGAAATTTTTGAATTGCCTTTTTATCCGCATCTTAGTAAGTCTGAACATTTTTTCTTATTAATCATTCAATTCAATTTCTATGTGAAATAGAAAACCATTTTTATTCATGATTTTATTAATGCCCCCAAATTTTCTTTGACACGCTCGGATAGAGCAGACAGCGCAACTTTGCCCCAACTCTAATCGACTAGAAGTGATATACAAGCTGATGAATGATGATGAGCGTTTTGCTTATTCTGTGGAAACTACGCGATTTATATAAAGTTCAGGAAAAACATGAAAAATATGAGTACCAAGCAATTGCTGTGATTTGTATTATGTAAAATTATTTTTCGCTGGATGAAAAAATTAAGATTTTCAGTATTTAGTTTTACTACTTGGCAACAATTAAATTAAATGAATTGTTACCACGAACTTCAAACTTCTTTGAAATTATTTCAATATTCTTCAAATATAAATTCCAAAAGCTTACTAAAACAAAATGTAGAAACTCTATGTACAGCAATAAAACGAAGACAAACGAAACGGGTCAATATCGATTTAAAAAACTTAAAAAGGTTCAAAGTACCTACTGGCAGGATACAAAAAAAGTAGCGGCAAGTTACGTATACGGGTGCCGGTGGGCTGCGGTCGAGCAGGGGTGGTCACAGCCGCCGTTATTGCTAAGCTAATAACACAGTTTGCGGGCTTTTCCTACTCAGCAGAGATATCCTACGCTATTCATAACTTGCACGGCGATCGGCAAACATTCTACTTTAAAGTTACTAGCGAGCTCTTTTGTGTAGCTCGGGTAGACTTTACCGATAATCGGAATTTTCGGTGAATATAATGCGTTTTTGTGAGAAAATAAGCTATTCCACGGGAGTGAGGCGGATTAGATAGGGTAGTAAATGTTTCAATGTAAATAATTTTCATTTAAACGAGTTCATCCAGTTTGAATATCGGTCAGTGAACGAGAGAGAGTATATCTGTCTCACTCGCACACTCTAGACAGGTATGTAGAAGTCGGCTAGAGCTGGCGGCGAAGTCTCCCGGGATGATTTAATTAATCAACACGGCGCGGCTCAAACTGATTTCCTCCTCAAATATCCATTAGCCGGTGTTGCCGTGCCACTTAATTCAAACTGTATTTAACAAGTGCTTCCAATGTGCGCAATTTACTTTGTAATACGATTAGGTGAAAGCGCATTGGTGCTAATTGTTTGTGTTAATTCACATCATACATACACCTTCTTATATTTTTCTAACACCCTAGACATTTATTAATGGAATTATACTATATATTTAAAAACTTTTCTATTTATCGCATGCTTTCATTTTCATACCCTACGCTACATATCGTTTTCGTGCAAATTATAAAACTCTATTAAAATAAGTAACAAAAGTTTAAAAACAATATTTATTTTCAATTTGAAATGAATATTTCATATGGAACTACTGCGGATATCTCTCATGTTGAAATAAATTCAGATACATTTATTTTTTACAAACAATATTTCATTGGAAACATGTTTATATTATTTTCATCGAAATAACGTTTAGAATGTTCAATGGATGTAGCTGATTTTGTTTCTATGCGCTATATATTGCAATAATATTTTTTCCGATTACAAATTCAAAAGGTAATAATATTCTTATAACAAAAGTTTGTACACGGGAACTGCGTTTATATTTATAGATATCTGTAACAAGATAACAATTCTTAACTTAGTTGTTTCAAAGATGTACAAACAATGCGCTCACGACGTAATTCTGTGCTTGTATAGGTACAGTACGTACCGTGCACTTAAAGTTTTCAATAGCAGTAGTTCGAAGAAAGCAACTTGTCAGAATCGTTTGCTTTCAACATTTATTTTGAACAAGCAAATATCGAAGTCGCAGATTTTATCTGTGGTAAAGTATACTCTTGGTTATAATTTATTCATTTTAAACATTGACACCTTAATATAGTAAAGGTAAACATAGCCTTTAGCTAATAATTGATTAGCATAATTGCACAAATATATTTATTTCTGTTTTGTTTACATTAAAGGCATTGAGACTTGTTTATGTACAGAAATTTTGCTTATGCACATTACGATTAGAGATTCAAATAAGTACGTGGGTACATATCTTGAGAGCAGGCGTTAAAATTACAGCATGTAATATGCTCTTAACTTAGGTACGAACACACTTGTGCAAGTGACAGAATTGGAACGCACACATTGAACGTAGCGTTTAGGAGGCGAGCGTGGCGTAGCGTCAGCAGCAAAAGAGTTAATGTAATGTTTAATTACGGGCACTTGGCGACTGCGCCAATCTTGCAATTAGGAAGCGGTGCGGCGGCGCGTAATCAGGGCCCTTTGCGACGTCGACACGCGTCGGAGAGCGCTCCACGTTCACGACTCGAGCTTTTCACTCGCATTTTACAACCTGTTGACGAGTTAGTTAAGCCCCTACAGTGAGTACGGTCCGCACAAAGAGAAACTCGCCAACCCCTCCGACTCGAGCCTGCAGACTGACCCGTTTGCAAATAAAAGCAGCGTCATATTACACTTTTTCACTATTCGTTCATTGCTAACGTTTAAGTGGAAAATACATCGGAGGAAATTAGTTTTTTAGTTCCATAATTTAAAGCTTTTAGTAGAATAATATTACATTTAGGTTTAAATAGGTAAACGAGAAAGGCATTATCCGTAAAGTGAATATTTAACAGACGTATATTTTTCTTTCCCGTGAATTTATTTCTTTTCTAATTAAACGAATTTTAAACACTTAATTGCCAACACGAAATCCTCGAACATGAAGTTTGTCTCGCAAACTCTATCTTAGTTGATAAATCCTCAATTAAATCCGACTCTCGTTGTCGATTTACCTTTGAAGTTCTTAGTTCAGCAGGAATTGCCGGGGACATTAAACTAAGTAGACGGTAATTAATATGTAAACAAGTGCAGAGTTTTCTCCGTGGAATAGATTAATCCGGGCGCGAGTGTGCGGGGTAATAACCCGGGGAGCGAACAACTTCACCACTTACATTACACGGACATTTATTCCCTACGCCCGGTTTCAACTTTTCGCTCACAAGGAGCCGAAAGGACCGCTTTAATTAATTTACGCGCTACGTAAATACAGCTGGAAATTCAGCCGGCAGTGCCGGCTGCGAAATAATATTTATTGTACTTGCCTTGTCGTCGTCGCCTTCACTATCACACTGCAAAAGAGAGACGTTTATGCATTAATAACACTGAAAAGTTTCTTCAAATAACACAACTTCTCCTGCATGCATAAAATATTATATCAAGCAAATATTATAATTTAAAACACCATCTCGAATAATTACATTAATTGCTTATAATATTTATATGTACGTATAGAAATGATGTTACTAAAGTAAATTTAAATTAGTTTAAACAATGGAATGATATATTATAAACCCGCATGGAAATATTAAGCAATAACCTAAACCATAACCAATAAAATGGAAAAATATCAATCAATATACAAATTGTTTGAAAAGAAAGTCTATCATCGTGTCGAGGCAAAATAATCCATACGATATTTACGAGGCGTGTTCGCGTCGAGGGAAACAAGGGATCGGGCTGAGATATTACAATTTCAAATAAATACAGTACATGAAGTATTCAGGACGGGCGCGTAATGTTCTGTAGTACGGGGCGGCACCGCCTCGACAAATCTCGTGATTTACCTGCGATACGCGCCGAATATCGAACGGGGACCGTGTGTTGCGTGATCGGACTAAATTTGCACAAGGTAATCGAAAATTATGGCTTTCACCTTTAAATAACTCCTAATAGCGTTCGCGGCTCGCTTGGCGACTAGGAATGGCAACTAAATGATACATTATTGGTTTTATTGAGGCGTGGAATAGGTTACGTGCCCGAACCGACCGCTCGCTAGTTGTTCATATGGAAACCGCTTTCGATGAGGCTATGAGAACTAGATTTTATATTGCAGTCACGTTGCTGTAATAGCACTTAAGATTACAAGATTTGAAAGATAAGCAAGAGTTGAGAATTAGTGGAAAAAGAAAAAGCAGCCAAACTTTATCCATGCTTTCCGCGTAAACGTAATAAAAGTCTGTATAAACAAGCGAAGCCGATGGACGTGTGAGTCATGCCAGAGGAGCTTGTACGCTGTAGGACATTAATGAGGATACTCACGATATAGCCTTTTCCGGAACTACAGCGGCTACTGGCCTGTAGGCAGGAGACAGAAAGGCGAACATATGAGTGGACTGGACCGATCGAGGTAGTAGGTAATTTTACCTGTCTCTCCCCTTGTATATATAGACAAATTTTAAGTATTCTTCACATAGTAAACTTCGAATCTCATGAATGTATTACATTCAAAAATGAATACAGTGGGAGGGACAAGTAAAAGGCAGCAAATAATTTTGTACAAACATCAACTGAATAGTAAACACATATCTAACATTTAGAGACGGTCACAACATTGAATCAAATGGTAATATCACTGACATGCATGAATGATAAAGTAGATCGGAAATTTAGACGAAAGCAAATTCAAGTCTGTTTGACAGATTTAAATATTTAAGAAACTTTATTAAAATAAGTGTAAGTCTAGGATGATATTGAATCCCGATAATACTAAGCTGACAGGTATTACAAAGTTATTGATACATTTATAAAAGTTGTTTAGCGGTTTGGAGTGTATACGTACGTCACTAAGACGGTCGCGCGAGGAATCGGGGTCGCGTGGCGCCAATGAGCTGCCCGTGAGCCGTTCAGATGCCCTTCCACTGTCATCCGACGTGCCAGCGTCTTGAAGCAGCGTTATACCCTGCACAATAATTATTTAAATAAAAACTCTTTCTGAACGTCTTACGGCAAATTTAAGGCAATATGCTTCTTCACTTTCGAATGAACGTGAAAGGGACTCTTATAAAATATGTATACATGTTCATCTTGTATTTGGTTAAGAAATAAGCGCCACGTCCGAATTAATCTCAAGACAAAAAAAAATTAAAATAGTTTTATTCATCGATCTTTATTTGAAACATCAAAACAGATTATACGTCGATGGGTGATTTAGACATGAATATTTTAGTTTACATAACTTTATATTCACGTTCCTCGACCGATATAAACTCCAGAAATAGTATTATATATAGTAAAGAATAAAACACATAAATCAAAAATATCTTTATTTCATTGCAGAACATCTTTTAAAATTAAACTAAGATTTTCATACTAGAACGTAGTATTCTTAAATAAGAATAAAATTTATAAGGTTGTCCTAGTAAACTCAGTAAGTATTTTATTGGAATAAATGAATGTTATCTTTATCTTTTCCGATTGTAATAAAAGTTGTGAGAGCTTATATAAAATAAACGATAATGAGGTGTACGAGTAGCAATGCAAATTACGGTATAATAAGACAGTAAATTTGTTTTAGCTGTTCGTTGAATTTGTACTCGCATCACGTAAACATTACTAAGCGGATCTAAATGGATGAATTTATTCCGTCGTATTGCTTTGTATCCGAGAGAGACTGGGAACGTTTTCATCTTAATGCAGACCGAGTTGTATATTAAAAGAACAAACAAAGCATTATACCAACTATTCAAATATTTAAGAGCAAACATTTAAATTCGTACACTTCTTGTAAACAAAATCTGTGGTATTAAACTAGCGATATAAAATATCTTACTTTTTGTTTGTTTTTCAAAACATTGTTAGTCATGAAAAAAATTATTGAAAGCATTAGGCACTTTGAGTCATTTACCATTGCAAGTGAACAAGAATTGTTTGAAAGGTGTTGAAATACTACTGATTACAATTATTTGAACTTATAAGTAAATAAGCAATATTAAAATCCAGAAACCAATGTACAGTTCCTTTTAAGTTGCTCATTTTACAGCAGATTGTACAAGACATTTATCTCCGTACGTCAATACACTCAAAGCAAAGACGTGTAGCGATACTCTTCCACGGTAAGAGGGTAAAATTCTATTAGATGAGGGTAAAAGGAAAGCTTTTTATGTAGACTCGCAAAATTGAGCGGTAACTAGGATATAAGAAAACTTGATAAGGCGGACAGGGAGACTGCCTACCCGTAACGTTGCGTGGCCGGGTCCCAACAATAAAAAGAGTTTTCCATTTATCACATTTCGCGTGTATTTTACGGCGGGGTTCGGAGCGCGCTCGACTCCGGGGGAGGGCGCTCGACGGGACGGATAAAAGAAAATAAAACGACCAGTAACTCTCTGTAAATGGATAACTCTCCGGCCGCGCTCGCTCAATGAACTTTCACAATTTTATTACGGACCATCAAATATGTTTTGATTTACGTGTCATAATATTTTTCGTGAGCAATGAACGATTGTTGGCACGTTTTGTAGCAATATTGTTGTCGCCCTATTCTAGACAAAGTAACAATGTAGAAGAATAGATAATAATACAGCACTAAATTATACCGTGTTTTGTAGAATTGATATCATGGTCGAGCTGTTTACTATTTGTTATGAAACTTTACTATTTGCATTATATCATTACTTATTACATAGTCGACTTTAATAAAACGTGATAAATCACAACAGGTACGGTTAAATCGTATTACCAACATGTTAATTTCAAAATAAAATTCTCGTTAGAACCACAGTGACTGAATTAATAATTTAAATTTCTAGAAAACACAACGATACATATCAGTTTATTTTTTATTTAAACTTAGATCCCGATAAAAGACGCATTACATTTTTACTTAGTTGAAGTGTTTTAGGATATATTAAAATTCAAATACCGAAATTCCCCTGTTATTATTCAATCAAAAACAAATCGAAAGGGTGATCAAGAGCGCCGCCGCGGAAGCGTGAAAGCATAACTTTGTTAACGGCGTCTTAAGTAGTCACCGAGAGAGACGTAATAAAAGTTGAACGCGTCCTTATTCCCACATAACAGCCAACAATAAGCTATACGCGCACGATTACGTCCCTGCTCCTAATAAAAGGGATCGCTTCCCGACCCTTTACATAGATAAACGAGTCGAGTTGAGTCGTGGCGTATCAATTTAATCCGACACCGCATAGGCCAACAGGATCCCTTAATCCGGGACGCGTGTTGCTCCGGGTATCACCGGATGTTACCGCATAATTGCTATAGCTCATTACGAATGCGCTTTAATTACAATGGACATTCCCGCACCGAGTGAAACGAGTGAACAGAGCCGTTAATGAGCTTTAGACACCTACTCGCCGACAACTGTTCATGTTGTGTTATGGTAATAAGTTTGAATAGTTGACACAATGTAACAAAATGTCGTGTTTCCAAAGACGTTTTATTGTTTGGAGAGGTCGTAAAAGTTTATTATATACAAGATACTGTTTTGAGAATCGAACTGAAACTAGACTTAAACATCGATAAACGAAGTAATAAATTCACCTATAAGGAAGTTGCAATGTAACCTTATATAAAGTGAAGGTTTTTTTTAGTTGATTGTTGTTTGTCTGAAGCGGAATCCGTAGTCCCATCGGGTTTGGAGGCGGTCGAGCGTTAAGTGCGCTTAGCATGAACTTTAAGAGTAACTTAGCTCGAGGGCTCCCGCAATTTAAACGGGAGCTTTAAACCTTGAGTGAAGTGTTACGATAAATTGTAACAAATTACTGAAATAATAGATATTGAAATATAAGACATTTGAAATTCGTAGAGATTCCTACTTATAAGTTATTCCGTAGATGTGTTTTTTATAAAAGGCAAAAAATCTACTTACAGATCTATCTATCAGATACTACTTGCAGATCTTCACGGTTTTTCCTTAGTTTTGGTTCCATGAAAATGTTTTGATAACTTGTGAATTAACAAAAACATGGAATTAATAAATAAAGACCACGAAAGTGCCCACGTTAACGTAGAAATGAACTCTATAGTAATGAATGTTTACCGACTAAAGGACAACTATTAAATCAGATCCGTCGTGACGTGTAGTTTGGCCGACGGGCGGGTACGGGAGGCGGCGGCGGGGGGCGACCGACCGACGACACAACCGCTAATTGAAACAACGACCGCGCCAGAACATTACTTATTCATGAGAACTCCATATGGCGACGGAACGTGACCAACGCAATAAATCATTCAATTATCGTGAATATGTACTGTCTTCGGTATTCGTCTGAAAATATTCAGACTTACGCACTTAGCCCTGCTTCCGTGGGTTAGGTGGTTTGGATCTTACAGTAGTACCCCCAGGATAAAATTTTTAAACTTTTAAAGTGTTTAATTAATATTGTCATTACAACACAAGCATATTTTAAACAACGAAATAATGATAATCTAATATAATCTTCCCTTAGCGATCACATTTAAGACAAACATTCCAATATTTGTCTGTAGTTAATGTATTTGCCTCGCTCTAAGGTGAAATGTAAATATTAAAATAACTGTATGCAAACTATTCATAAAGAAGGGTTACAAAGCGTGACATGCTTACGGAAAACTGCTGTAGGATCAGTAAGTGGAAAAATAACTAGGTACATGATTTTCGACCACACCTCCACTTTTCCACATCGATGGTTGAAACAACTAACATGTAATTTTTCGAACAACGTTGATTACTTAATATAAGGTAAATTGCATGTTCATTTACTTTAAAATATTCATGAATATCTAACAATCTTTAAAGATGATCAAAATGTTATTTGGTAGCATAATAATTGTATGATAATAAACTATGCTAATATTTACTTTATTGTCTGGACAAATAAATCACATTCAATTTCTATTGGCAAGTTATAATAGTGATGTCATATACACACAATATGAATAAAATCGTTTTAACCTGCGATCTTGTCATAGATAAAATCCTCAGCAATATCAGCATGACAGTAATAAATGATGTTATTGAACATCATAGGATAAAATTAGCAATAAAAAAATAAAAGACTTTAGAAATTTTGCGACATTTCATTCGGTATAAAGTACCCTCGAGATAAATAATCTTCAAGAGATTACGGAGTTTGAAATGAAAGATTTACAAGTCACGATAAACCTAATGATACACGAGTATGTAAATTTGATGTAAAAAAAAAATGCGAATAATTTCGTAGTTGTTTGAATTATTCATTCTGAAATATTTGTAATATCTTAGCAAACTTCTTGACAAATGGGTCTAATATGTTATACATACAATCGTCTAAGCTTAGTCTTGTTGACCTTTAAAAAAAACTCTTCTCAAAGTAGAAGTGTTAAAAAATACGACACATTAAATATGAATCTCAACTTAACAGTAGACCTAACAGACTAAAAAAACACAAGTGTTCTTAATCGAACTATATGGTTGTTTGTTTCGTAGAAAATACCGTCAACTTATGATGAGAGCCAAAGTCGTAGTAATAAAAAGTGATATTCCAATATAAGGTAAATAAAGTTATATCACATAAGACAATATGACTGAAATATGAACGTAAGCAGACATACTAATTAGGGTAACAAGGGGGGCAAGATATTAATTACAAACATATCGATGTATTGTATACTAGGAACTAATTTGTAAATCTGGGTTCAATATCATTAACAACAAAACGATCTTGATTGATTTATTAATTTCTTTGAAATGCCATTAAATTCGAGTTACCGTGTAAGTGATATAAGCTGCAATAAACGCACAATCGTTGTTAATATTTATCGATCAGTTTAACGTTGAGTCGAGCCGAGTGGCATGTGCCTGCGCACTTGTGACTGAGGCGCACTGCACCCGCGTAAGTGCAGTTGCATAATTTATTTATGTCACGGCACGTAACACTTGTCGAGACTAGACGACGATACTAGCTTTCCTAATTATTTGCATCAGCTGTAAAACTTATAAAGTATCGCACACTTCGTACAATATCACTGTAACTGAGATCAATTATTTAGTATAAGTCTTATTTGTTATGAAAAATTGCAATGCAATAATTGTATAAATTTTATTGAAAAAAAGAACGAGAAGGAACTAAATGATAAAGTCGCGAGCGTCCGCTAGTTGGAAATATAAATATTATTTCAGTGGTTATGTCACAACAGCCGCCAAGTGGTTCGGATTAAATCCCGGACGCCGCATACCATAACTTTTCTCAACTTATCTATGATGAAGTGTCGTCTTGACATTGATCCAAATAAGCTTAGATAAAGTGGATACAGATGGCGGTTGTTGATTTTACTTGTTCATATGTATTTCATCAACAGTTTTAATAGTACGTGGTAAATTTAACATTGAATTTTTAACTTTAATACATACAACATACAAAACATAATGTAATTTTTTTAACAACTTTGCAAAACATCCTTACAACTACTAAAGTTTTAGTTCAGATTATAAGCATCATATGACAAGAGTTTCTTATTGATGAAATACAAAAAAGCGTGTGAAAAGCTTCATTGAAGCGAGACACACAATAGAAAGTTCTATAATAAAAATGACAGAAAAATACCGTTCGGAGACAGCCCATGAATAATATAATAGATTGAGGCGTACGCAGATTGGTTCGCTTAAAATAACTTAAACATTGCATCGGAGCGACGATCTCGGAGAGTAACCAGATCAATCAGCATCCGCGCCAGCATTCCGCGCCTTCGCTAAATGGAAAGCCGCGACAGACTGGATTAATATTACATCGGCTAATGGAACTGGGATTGAATCCGCATACCCGATGTGTCGCGCGTAATTATTTGACGCTATCGTTTGCCGTTTTATCGCAAATATCTCTCGTGTTTAGTGTTAACACTACACATTTGAGCGTATGATAGGGACCGTGATAAAAATGATAGTAATCACTTACTATTTGACAATTTGATATGTTTCAACCAAAATAAATGTTGTCATGTCGGCTTTTATTGGGTCTGACGTTATTAACTGATAGACAAAAATATTCTTTTTAAAACGTAATAAATTAGTTGACTTTTGTTAATTTACTTATATTTTTAATGACCTCTAAGTCGGTTATTGGTGTATTTTTGCCATCATCCTTCCATCTAATCCTGTTAGATTCTGTGAATTAGCCTAAGTTTTAGCATTAGGTTTATGATGAGGCTCACGACAATTGTAGTAATTAATACATTTATAAAACCCTGGTATAATAGTTAGCTGATTAAACAAATATTTAGAATAAAACAAAGTACGGAAAAATATTGGATATTTTATTTAACCTGCATACAGCAGAAAAAATACAAAAATTCAAGTACATCAAATAATGTTATACAAACAAAGTGATGTCGAAAGGGCGACATAAAACAGACGGCGGTATATTTCGCCTGCAGGCAGATAAGGAAAATCGAAGTAGACGTAAGCAAACGGCAATATCAGGGAGCGGGGAATAAAAACATTCGGCGGTCGGGCGAGCGGGCGATGGCGGCTCGCCAGCTCCCAGTGACAACACAATAAGGACACCGCTGTCGAAAGCAATCAAGTCGTGTTCACTTCACCGCAACCAATTTCATGAGGACGTACAAATGCAATTGCGCCCCGTGTAGTTACCGACCGATGTGAACATACCGATTGATTGCTATTGCTACGCTATGGATGCTTAGGGATTTAGAATTTCAAGGGTTTGTGTTAAGGAGTGTAAGCGATGCTTTTTTAGTTTACTTGTACTTTTTTATGTTTAAGTACTAAGGTTTCTTACGATCATAACACTTTTCTGGTTATTTTTAATTTATGAATTACTGTAAACAGGATTTCAATAGTAACTTGAAAGTAGCTATAAACGACAAGTCTGGTGGGATGTTCCAAGTGTATTTCAGTAGCCGGCGGTCGGAAATGGGGAGCGAAACTTAATGATCCCGACAGCCCGCCGGGAGGCTGTGTTCTATTCGACGGCAAATTGAATCTGCGAAGAGCTATTAGTCGACACCGCTGCGGTGGCCCCTCCGCCTGCTCACAACGACGCGCTCATCTCCCTGCCAGACTCATACCGTATGCCACAACTTGCTTTCTTAAAATTTACTTTCTTTTAAGATAGACAATATTCTTCTGAATCAAGAATAAATCGTTTCCCTTTCTATGGAAATTGTCTTGGAAATTGGAAATACAACGTTAATAGCCATTTTAAATACGTATCGGTTAAGTTTGTCCCGACCTAACAACATCGCTAACAAGTTAAGAAGCAAGCTAAAGAATTTATAAACTCTCAATATATAAAATTTTGATTAGCTTTGGTAACAACGTGAAACTTTTATATTCAAAGTAATATTTTAACCACAGTTGATAATTTTATTATACTACAAATAAATAAACCCTCGTTCCACCTCTGTAAATAAATGTATTCTTGTTGAGAATCGGTATCGTAAAACTTCTCCCATACAAAATTTAACTGGCTCGTACTCGAGTCGATATAAATTATTCTTTTCTCCACGGAGCAAGATTTTCTGCTTTATTCGAGCAAAAGCACAAGCGGCGGGAGGCAAATTGGATGGGATTGCGACATATCTTGGCTGGCGGCGAACCGACGAAATGCGGGTAAACTGCTCTCATTCCGCTTACTACTCTTTTCAAATAGGGAAAAACGCGACTCTTTTAGCTGATGTGCCTTTATTGTAAAAGGATTATTCACAGAAAAGAGATCGAATCCCAAGTTATATCCAATCCAAATAACGCTGTGATAGAAGTGTGTATCGAAAAAGACTTTCGTGTAATGTAAATAAAATTCTTACTAAATAAACAGATGATAAAAGAAATACTCATTCATATTAAAACATTTTCCTCACATAAACCACGGGGAAGACATAAAATCAAATATTTGCTTTGAACTGGGTCGTCGATAATCGGCCAATTTATAAAGGTAGCGTATAAAATGTGAGAGCAGAAGATAGGTAATACCGGCCGCGAGCGTCGGGCCGGCATTTTATTTTAATATCGTGTCGACTGCACGCTTCCGACCGTCCACAATCCACCCCATCCCATCCGAGCTTTATCCACTGCAATATTCAGGCGCATTGTGATTCACAAACGTCCGTCTTGCTACTACCGACATCCGTTCAACAAAAAACAACAACTCGACACAACAATCCGGTGCATCCGCGCAGCCAATGAAAGCGTTGTTTCAAAAGTTTTTAATTACAGCTCTAGCTTTTTTACGGCGTTAGCATTTATAAAGACCGCATTAAAAAACACGGACAATTTTTCACATGGTAAACGCAAATAATAACACATATAGAGACGATTTTTTATTAGCATAGCAAATATCCTTTGTACTCCAAATTGAATTGGTATTTTAAGTTTTAATCCTAAAATCCTATCACACTAAAAACAAAAATCTTATTTACAAAGATACTGCGGGCTCTATTAAGTTTTAAGATAATTGAAGTTTTTAATTAGACAAATCTAAGAGCGTATTTTAAGAGCATATGAATTGTGAGACTGAATAAAAATTATATACCTTTTTAAAGGTATTTATACCACGAATTAAATGTTTTTATTTACAAATTCTAGTTGAAATGAAACTAAAGGGTTGGCTTGTAAACTCGGTGTTCAATTACACTTAATGCTTTAGTAAACTGTTAACGAGTTTAGTAAACACGCACACAAGTACTAACATGCAACAACACATAGAACTTTACGTGTGTCGGTTCTTCATCGGCCTCGGAGACCGCGTTGACAAGTCGAGTGGCAGTTTACGTACATATTATGCGTTTGGCGAGAAAGCAAGGCCCGGAAGAGGCACGCCGATGGCATACAGATTTAGACTGGCTGCATTTAGACGCGTGAGATCACCCGATGCATTAACGTTACGTTGAGCACGGTCGATGAGAAAGCACGCAGTAATACATCGATGATTAGATATTATCGATTGAATTATAGCGTTAACAATAACAATTACAACAGCATAGTGCTGTTAAAACATTCATTTAAAAGTTACACTCGAACATGCTATTAGAGTTGAAAACAAGGACGCCTTAGTCACGTTATACGAGTATTACATTTTTAATGTCGAACGTAAAATAACAAACTTGTCTCTTTAATATTATAAGTATGGATTGTTACTTCGTATCAGTAGATAAAATTTACAGATAATGTAATGATTACAATTTACAATCAGATCTTAGACAAAAGTGTTAATTCAAAATCGACTTTGAGAGGATTTCGATTTGGTTGTCATGCAAAAAATGTATGAATATGTTCTGTGTTTGTGTACTTACGTGTGAGTTCACATTGTTTGGTGGGTGGTTCCGGGGCGCGTCGCCGGCCAACGCAGCGAGCGGTAGTCGCGGCTTGGTCGACAACGCGTTGGTACGAGGTGAAGAAGCGCATTTTACAGCAGCCTGACAACAAACAAATTGAATTTACAACCTATAATATGTGTCATTGTTGCTACACTACAATCCGGGGAAAAGACAATCGGAAGACTCACTATTCATAATTAATCAATCATTTAAGCCTAGCTTTTTTTTACGTACATCAGTATATCAAGTTGAAGTTTTTTTTTATTATTTAGGTATAGTATGATTGACGTTGGTTCTATTTTTGTAAGTTATTGAAAAAATAGCAGAGAAACAGAAAGTTTTGTAGGAAACAACTAAATACTACATCACGCAAACGTCTATTTCGCAAATAAAATACGTATCCAATGCATTAGAGCGCGAGACGAAGTAGATTATATTTGAAGACAGACTAATAATTGCTACATTTCATAGTTTTATTGATAAAGTAAAGACTGTACCAAAGATTATAATTTCTTTGAATATACAAAGAAAATCTTGGAAGAAAATAAACGGCAAATCACGATTTCAAATAATTCACAAGGTCTAAATTGACGCGTGAGATTATCGTGGGCGCATTCCTCGTGAGACAGTCATTTCGTAAAGCTGTAAAACTACGATGTTTCCTGCTGAATTTATTGATGTCAGACATATTATGTTAGACTTGGTTGCGAGATGTTTTATCACATAATCGAGTACGTATAAATGCCAAATGTTCTAGCTTTTAAATATTATTGTATTATATCGTTTAAATAATCGCAGTTTCTAGTTGAATTATTATTTAACATTATGTAAACATTTTTTATAAGAATAAATAAACATTTTAAACATTTCTCTACATCGAAATGTTTTAGGGGTTAAGCAAACCAAATTTTACTGTGCAAAGTTAACAAATTGGTGCACGGATTACTCCGCTAGAGTAACTAAATAAAAGTGGTGAAACATTTACAATCTCTGTGTACTCCATTTGCGATGTTAACGAGGGATGATGTATTATAGTACAGAAAGAACTCACGCAAACACTTGTCGCTTTTATTGAGCCTTTAAGCCGCAGCCGAGCTCTACTACAACTTAATGCTTTTAACGTTGGCATTAAACAAGACTGTTACTATATGTAAACAGTTGGATTCACCCTTACGTAATAATATGATTCTAAATGTAATTTACAATGTTGGCGTCAACAGAATTGAAGTATGGTCAATTTGAATGATTTCAATTACGGTAACCTTATGTTAATATATGTACATGACATCATTTTATACGTTCTAGATATTTTTGCCTTTGTATCTATTAACTGGACATTATCAAGTCGGAGTCGAGCTAACAATTATCCAAAGACAACGACCGATATCGACAACTTCCACTTTGAATACGGAAGCACTTTACCTAAATGCCACTAGCGGTCGTCCGCTCACTAGCGTTGGATCTAAACTTGTATAACACAATACAAAACCATTACTAGTTGTTGTTACTCTTGTTTGTTGCACTCCTTTAATTAAGAGTCAACTTAACTGAGCTTTTAATTATTAAGTTAAAACTCTTAAAATAAATGTGTAAAATGTGTCTGTTAAAATAAAGTTTCGTACATGCATGCTTCCAGTAGACGTCTGTATATCCTTCTTTTAATTAATTAATTTCTGAATTTAATTGATCCAGTAACAAAACAAATAAATTTGGAAAAGACGTCATTGAATATTTAAGATTGCATTAGTAATTTTATGTAGTCATAATAAAATGCTAAATTTGAATTTATCGTCAAAACACAATATAAAATACATTTTGCTTGCGTATATTTTCCAACGATAAAAATGATTAGAGCGTATAAAATCTATCAGTAATGTGTTTAATAAAAACGATTAAAAATGTTTAAAACAATATAAATTCAAATAGTGTATAGCACCACTAAATTATTACAGGATAACGGAGTTTTAATGTGTCGTAATTCACATTTATGGTTTCTCTATTTCCATGCAGTCTTCATATCGTTATTGTTTAGCAAACATTGTTAATAATAATATTTTAATAGCGGGCATATAAAGAGCGTATCATCCAAAAATGTGATGGTCGCAGGCATTCATTTGGCCTTAAAACGGCTTTCCCACGGGGAGAACAACCGCCCGCAGAAAAATAGCTCGCCGCGATTTCTGTGAACTCGTGATAACTTTTTTTATGAGACTGAAATGAATTGTATAAAATCTTTTGTGGAAGCCAAATAAAGATCTCGAGAGAATTTTGTTTTCGTCACAGTACTAAAGAGATTTATTCGTTGTAAAATTAAATTTATCTACTGCGGACTCGTTATTATTCTCGCGATGAATTTCGGAGTGCTTTAATGAAAACGTTTATGTTGTTGAACGTTTAGTACTTAGTTAAAGGTCGTCGTTATTAGATGGCTATAAAGAAGCATGGGAATGTTTTATTGTTATACTTGTTGTTAATGGAGGCCGTGGTTATAAGATTGTATCTAATAATTAGCATCGATTAGGGCGGCTCGCGGACAACGCTCATTTACCGTAATTGCTTTACCAACAACAAATTAATTACTAATGTGACAAGTTTGAACACAAGTATTACAAGCCAATAATAATTAACCAAATTGTTGATCGTCGAGTCGTTGCGCACTATTTTACGTAATTGGATTGGTTAATTTGTGTAAATGAATAGGTATGCAATCTAAAAAAAATTGCAGAGTAGTATGATAAAATTGTAGTGTTGAACAAACATCAAATACAGTCGACGTGTTCTTAATTTAGTCTGTTTATATGTTGACTGTTTAGTTTGTGAGGACATGAGCAAAGAACGCGTCAAAACAATTTGGTTCGCTTTTGAATAATATGTCCTATGATTAAATAACCTGTTAGTTTTGTCACCAGCATGCTTAGTCGTGATTCATCGCTGAAAAAGTACTTCTTGGCGGAGATCCAAGGGACATAAATATTATACATAATGTAGCACACAATATGTGGCGAAACCAATAGAATTATCGTATACTCGATAAAGTTTTACATACATTTTCTCGGTACAAAGCCAAATAGAATGTTTACATCGATTGAAAAATTAGGTGCGCAAGTCTGACGCTCAATATTATGCGGTACATTTCTGTGTGGGAAGCGAATTCTTTCCTATCTAACTATACAATAAAATGTAACAAAACTCAATTTGTTTAGGAAACATTATGTTCAAAATGTTTAATATAAATGTTTTTGTTTCAAGCTATTTCTTTGTAATTCTACGTATCACTCACAGGCTGATTTTAATGGTTTTCAATGTACATTTGAACAGTATTTTGTAAACACGTTATTGGTGATCTACGGTTAGGGATTTAAAAATAATAAATACATCAATAAAGGAAATTTTATCTTCATATCTGATTGTATTTTAGTCGAAGCGTAGGTATCGCTTTAAAAATAAAACTTAAATGCATACCACATAAAACTGGTAGTAAATTTTTGCACGTAACGACCTTGCTCCTAATAATCGTGAATCGGGGTCGGATGTCGGCGCCGAGCACCAAATTGCATTTTGTTTTTAATCTGACGACGGCCGCAGGCTGCGACGTCGTCGGAGTTCAATTTGCCGGAATCGTTTAATTACTAGCGACACGGCGGCTCATTAATTAAGTCATCAGAGCTAGCGAGGGTAAGCGCCAAGGATTAGATACCGTAGTTTAGGATAATGAATGATTATAAAATCCTAGTAGATACAACCGCGCAATCAAATACATATTCCTTTAACCGGTTTAACTCCAGTTCATTGGGTGAACGATTTATATTTTTACACTCAAGTCATTTGTTACTAAATAATAATATTCAAACAAATAAATACGGCATAAAGTCTTTACGATGCACAATTACTATTATCAAGAAGCAAATAAAATCCAAACTGCCTAACACATTAATATTTACAAAAGCAAAAGTGGTAAAATAACATGACACTTAACAACTAAGGCAATTTGTAATACGACAGTGAGAATTACTAAGAGTATATAAACATGGTTTTTACGTACTTTACACTAATAGTGAAAGGAATACGTAGGAGAAGAAACAAATTATATATTTTGTAAAGTCGAAGAAATGTTAAATAACGAAAAATAACAACAAAAGACTGTAATATAAATAAATATGTAGTCTCAAAGTCACAACAAAAAACAGTACATATTTCATTAATTATACATAATGCATTATTACCAGTTGGAGCAAAAAATATTTACACGTGTATAAAAGCAATTACTTACACAATAGTTAACGATTGATACATTGTTGTAATGTTGCAAAGAGCATCTTAACAGCTATCATTTAACAAAGCGAGCAGAAGACCATGAAAACCAACAAAAACTCGTCCTGGTCCGTGTAGTTTTTTGTCGCACCAGACATGGTTTTACATTAAATTTTGGTATAAACTAAAATAGAAAAAATCCATGAAATGATTGAGGTAATGTGTGTGTTGATTTAACGTACACACGTATAAATATATTGTTTTTAAAACTCCATAGTATGAATGTAGATAAATATAGAGCAGCATTTCTACTCAAAACGACTTACAATTTACTACCCTTAATATTACATGCTGTTTTTGAAGGATACAGGAGTTTATTTTCTTTTAAAATATTTATTGTACAATGCAAAAACGAGTAAGCAAAATGTGTAAAGAATTATCCAGCGAAGAACTCACGGGGATTAAGTATTATCCAAACAAGAGTATTTCTTGTTACGGCTAAACGAAAGTCGGTCGAGTTCTTGCTTACATTACTGTGCAAAGCCACAATGTAAACAATTCTGAACGAATCAATTTGACTGCGATAAATTCACGAGCAAACAAACCGCTAATAAACAACGTCAAAGTGCGACGGAGTCCCGCGCCGAGGCTCAAGTTAATAATAGATTTACGATGGTGTACGATAGCGGAATAAGGAAGCAATTAACTGAGGGGGTGTAATAGAAATATTTGTAAACGGTTGTCGCGGTCGTCGCGTGCCGGCAGGCCATTACACCGTCCAGCGGGCAGGCAGGCGGGGTGGCGCCACCTCCACGCTACAATTGACCTACTGTACTCACCTTTAAGGG